TGCCATTCCCAAGTCAAGGGTCGTATATACTGACCCAATAGCATATCTTGAAAACTAGAGCCAAGCAACAATTTTAAGCATCATTTTCGTTCTCAGTGACCCAGAATTAGTAAAGTTTGACTACATTTATTTCAGAAGCATTTTGGCTGTAGAGCAGTGTGATTAAGCGCTTGTGCTATTAGTATCAGGCTTTATGGGAGTAGTTATGCTAAAAGCTGGGATTTAGCTAAAGAGATAACCCTGGGTCATAAATTCTGCACTCAATCTCAAAAGACAAACAAGAGACCACAAAGGATACAGCACACTGCAGAATTCTGCAATGAGGTTGCTATCCAGTATCTAGACAGTTAAACCATATTTACATATAGAAATTATTATTCAATGACTGATGTCAGTCACGAATATTAAGGGTTGATGCTTAATTATGGACACCCCAAAGGCCATATATGGACAGGAATGCATATTAACCTTATTATAATCAAGGTTAAGGATCAAATAAGGGTGTATATATCCTTACCGCTACCATAAAAAAGGTTTAAAAAAATACCACACTCAGTTCTTGTTTCTTCAGTTCATCAGATTCCCCAGACAGTGTAAACTGAACCAGGACCTCCCTTTGGATGGACTTGATTTACTTTCCCTTCCATCTCGATTTTCAATGCTCCCCATAAAGTTGTGAGTATGCATAATGCAAGATTGTAAGTATGAACAATGCAGGAAACCACTGTCCGGTACTTACCTTAGTCTCACGTTCATGTATTTTGTTTTTTCTATAATATCAGTTATGATTGTCTGTATTAAATAAAGTTAATCTGTGGCAAGTGCATGTTGCACACTCCAATAAATAAATTTATAATTGTAATACTGTATCAGTCTATACTTCACATTACTTTACAAATTATCTGTATGCAATAGTACACTTTCTGATAGTATAACATTATTTTCAGTTTCACAGCTGCTATTGTCTGGGGCTCCTGCAGTCAGCCAGGCTCCCTAGAGCCTCTCTGTCCCTCCATGTTTCCCCTCTTGAATCCTCCAGTTTGTCCCCTTGATCAGATCCTGGAAAGAGCCAATAGCAACTCATTGCTGTCAGCTCAGTTCAGACCCCTCCCTCAGGCCATTCACCAGGGAGCAGATTCCCAGGGGCTGCCAGATCTCAGGATCCCAGAGGCTGTTTATGAAGACATCACCTTCCTGACTAGCAGCAGGTTTGGATAATGTTTGGTGGTACCCAGAACGGGTCCAAGTCCCACCCCCCACCCCCAAGGATCTGGGAGGGAGTTTGGGTGCTGGGTGCAGGCTCTGGACTGGACCAGGGGGTTGGGGTGCAGAAAGGGGTTCAGGCTCTGGGAGAGAGTTTGGTTGCTGGCTCTAGGAGGGGGTTGGGATGCAGGAGGGGATCAGGGGGTTGGCGCTTACTTCGGGCAGCACAGGCTCCCGAAAGCAACCCACACACCCTCTAGCAGCAGCTAGGGGCAGGGGCATCAGGGAGACACCCTCCTCCCCCAGGGTCCGCAGCAGAGACGTGCTGGCCGTTCGGGGAGCAGCGCGGAGTGGAGTGGGTGGGCAGGAAGCTGTTTTAGTCCCGTTGTGCGCGCTGGAGGCTGGGGAAGAGGGGCGGCGGCCCAGGTCCTTTTAAATCGCTCGGGGACAGCAGGCGGGCCCGGGGGGAGGCACACAGGGTGGCAGGTGGGACCGGGGGAGAGACCAGCTGTGACAACGGAGCCGGGCCCATAGAACTCGCCGCCCCGTATTTTCCCCGCACTCACCTACCTGGAGTGGCTGGCTCAAGAGCTGAGGGCGGAAGAGACCGGGGCTGCCCCACAAGGCTTGTCCCAGCCTTTGGAGAAATTCCATACTTAGGAGCTGCAGTGAACCCTATGAGTTTAATAAACGCGTTTACGTACAAAGTCCGTGGCGGGCTCAGGGTGGGGCTTCAGGAAGCTGCTGCAGGAAGCTGCTGTGGGCTAAAGGGAGGCGGCGGCAGGGTCGCTGTTGTGCTAAGTACTGGTGCAACAGCGCTGAGAGGAGGAGCGTGCACTCCCAGAGCAGGGAGCGGAGACCAAGCCGGGCCATGTCCATGGGATTTCTGGGAGCTCAGTCAAGCTGGGTTCTGATAAATCGTGCGTTTCTTTCACACCAACGCCAGCTCCTTCCACAACAGGAAACGCAGGGGGAGCAAAAAGCCAAAATGGTGCCATTTTCCTGCTGCCTGTGCAGACGCTTCAAGCCAGAGACACCCCCCTGCAAGCCTCTCCAGCAACCTTCTGCCTAGCAGTCTTTATTTGCAACAGCAGCCCCCTGACACCAATATGACAATTCACATGCAGGATCAGGCCCTTTCCACCTCACTCTATTATTGCTCCATATTTAATATGGGGGGAGGGGGAGACAGAATTCAGCAAGGCGGGTCTAAGCTCCGGGATTCCTGCACTGGAGTGCAGATGAGGAAGGAGCTGAAAGCCAGGCAGCTGAAGGGCCACCAATCCTGCCTGTGGAGGCTGATCTGGTAGGCGTGCTCAGAGGCTGCCAACTGAATCTAGTCCCATTCAGACTCTGGCTATAGAAGAAAGTGGTGATGTCCACCTAACTTTTACCCCAGTGGTTAGAGAACTCATCCGGGCTGTGGGAGACCCAGATTCAATTCCCCTCTCTACCTGATGTATGGGAAGAAAGGAGCTGAATAGGGGGTCTCCCCCACCTCTCAGGTAAGTGCCATAACCAGCAGGCTACAGGGTATTCGGATTTAGGTCACTGTCAGGCTCTGCTATTTAAGCTGTTCTACTTTGGATAACTAAAGAGTCCTTGAAGCAGGGGGGTGCTGGGTTTCCCATCTCCTAGGACTGGACTCTACAGTTGTTCTCAAACTCTCTGTCTTTGGCCTAATGACTCTTTAAGTGTTTATCCAACGTGGAACAGCTTCACCGGGAGATTGAAGGAGACCCACCTCTGGACATCCCATCAGGCTGGTGGTTAAAACAACCCTGTTGAAACATTTTTTCCCCTCTTGGACAGAGGGAAGAATTGAACCCAGATCTCCAACCACTGAGTTACAATTTATAAGGTGGGCACCACCTCCTTGCATGAAGTAAGGGAGGCCCCATAGTTTCACAGGAAACCACTTTGGCACCTAAGCTGCCTAACTCCAGGAGTGTGGTTCCCAGTTGTGAATTGCAAGCAGAGAAAGACATGTCCCTGCAACCTGGACTGTGACAGGGCAGGAAGTAGGATACAGGGGGTCCCTGGTATAAGTCTCCCCCCTAACCTTTGTTTCACATATCCGTCGCTCATCAATAGGGGTGTTCCGATTCACGTCGGTCCCAATCTGCATATCCATCATTTGCAGTATGTACTGTACTGTAAGTTGAAAATGATGGATACGCCGATTGGGATTGACATGAATCTGAACACATTCCCCTATTGATGAACGATGGATATGCATAGCCACAGGTGGGCCACGGCCCACCCACTTAATATCCAGGTCCATCCACCCAGTCCCAGCTCTGCTCCTACCCCAGCGCTTGCCTGCCCAGTGCTCCAGCTGGAGAGCAGGGTCAGGGCATGGGGGCTTGCCCAGCGCTGGTGCTCCAGCCACAGAGTGGGGTCAGGTGCTTGCCCGGCTCTCCTGCTGGGGAGTGGGGTTGGGGCTCAGGGGCTTCCAAGCCCCCACGCCTTGACCTCACTCCCTGGCTGGAGCAGCAGGCAGGCGAAAAAAGCCCCCGTGCCCTGGCTGGAGCACTGGGCGGAGCGGAGCAAGCCCCCACGCCCTGACCCCATTCCCCAGCTGGAGCGCCAGGCAGGTGGACCAAGCCTCCAACCCTGCCCCCCGACAGGAACGCCAGGCAGAGCAGGGCAAGCCCCTGCGCCCCAGCTGGAGTGCCGGGCTGAGTGGAGCAAGCTCCTGCACCTCGACCCCGCTCCCTGAGAGGAGGGCCAGATGAGCAGAGCGGGGCAAGCTCCGAGCATAGGGCGGGGGGTGGGGGGCATAGCGGGTGGGGATGTGGGGACACACATTTTTCTGGGAGCCCCTGGCCAGAGCATCAAGGGCCCCCCCTTGCAAGGCTGGCTGAAGGGGGGAAGGCAGCCAGATCGCTCCTACTCCTCCACCCCCCGTCATTGCCAGCACTAGCGTAGCTAGTGGGGTTCAGGGGAAGCAGCCGCTTCCCCTGACCACATTCCCCAAAAGTGGCACCTGCTGAACGGGGCCGCGGGCTGGCTCCCACCTCCTGGCGCTCTGGCCGGCCCGGCCAGCGGAACAGGCTCCCAGCACTCCGGCCGGCGGAACGGGGCCGCGGGCTGGCTCCCGGCGCTCTGGCCAGCCCAGCTGGCGGAACGGGATGGGGGCTGGCTCCCAGCGCTCCGGTAGGCCCGGCCGGCGGAATGGGGCATGAGCTGTCTCCCAGCGCTCCGGCCGGCCCAGCATGCTCCTGGAGGTTGGTTGCAGAACCAGACTCAAAGTTCTCAGTCTTCAGGGCCTGTTTTTATAAGGATTTATCCTCATTCAAGTCTATAGGATTTGCTTTGTCATGCTGTTCTCACGTTTGAAGTGATAATCAATCACTGTTCTCATGTTGGCAGTGATGAGAAATCACGCAGATGGCACAGCCATGACAGTTGGTTGTTATCTTGTTCTTTGGTTCTTCGGCTCCCTGTCCTTGGGGAGCTTGGGGGTGGATTCTGGTTTGCCCTTGGGGTTATCCAGTTCTCACTCAATGCATTTCTTCAGCCAAATGATCCTGGGATTATAATTCTAAAGCTGGCACTTCCAACCTTTTATGACCCATTGAAACCAAACATACATTCACACTCTATTTCACTTAATAAAATGTAGATGTGATAAGAAATATGTTATGTATCCTTTAACATAACCCTTCTATAATTACTGGGGCATGATAGGCTTCAATAGATCTGTCCATACCACTTGCTACACAGGAAAAGAAAACAAGCAAGATAAAAATGCAAAGGGTGGGAGTTAACAAATCTTATTGCTGCATTCCGGAAAGCAATTGTGGCAGCAGTTATTTTTACTAGTTTGTCTTATCACTTTCAGAACACTCTTCATCTCGGGATGTGCTGGTACAATTAGCACAGACCTTGTAAATTTAACAGATGTGTTTCAATTAGCGCAGCCTTAGCAGGCTAGCTGAGATACTTATTTTTTTCTAGTGGACAGGCCAAATCCAGGGTCAGTTCTGAACTATGCTTTCCTAGGGTTACCATATTTCAGCAAGCAAAAAAGAGGACGGGAGGAGCCCCGCCCTAGCCCCGCCCCTGCCCCTCCCACTTCCCGCCCCCCCAGAACCCCCAACCCTCCCCCCCGTTCCTTGTCCCCTGACTGCCCCCTCCTGGGACCCCTGCCCCTAACTGCCCCTCAGGACTCCACTCCCTATCTAAGCTTCCCTGCCTCTTGTCCCCTGACTGCCCCAACCCTT